TTTTATAATGATAGAAGAACTAAAGGTAGAAATTATTAAGCAACAAAAACTGAAAGAAAATATTAGTCAAAAAATAACAAAAGTTCTAAAAGAAACATTATGAGAAACAAGAATAAATATATAATATATATTGATAGTACAGCTAATGAGAAAGATAATAAAGAACTATCATCTAAGAACAATATGAGTATTGGATGGGTTCAAACAAATAAAACGCAAAAATGGCTAGAAGAAAAGTTAGCATTTGAACTAGAAGAATGGCAAACATCGATGACAGCAAAGTTGGTAACAATTTGGGCAGCAATTCTTACAATACCTAAGAAGAAGCAAATAGAGTTATATACAGATAGTAATGCTGCAATAAGAAACATTAGTAGAAGCCTAGAACAAGCAAATAGAAACAAGATTATTAAGAAAAAGAATGCAATATGATTAATGAAGATTAAAGACTTTGTTAAAATAAAAAATATTTAGATAGATTTAGTTAAAGTTAAAAGTTATAATAAAGACAAATAGAATAATAAAATGAATAGTTTAGCAAAAAAGAGAACAATAAGTAGAGAAATAGTTCAGACCAAAAAAGTTAGTTGTAAAGAGATAGAGTATTGCCTAGAGTAGGAAAAAGACAAACTGACATACTAGCAAGACTGTTTTGCAAGTTAGTAATGAATGCAAGACTAGAAGTGAAGTGAAAAGAAATATGAACAGTTAAAGATTTAGAGCCAGAAGCAGAAATCACAATTAATGATTAGACTTATTTTTGAAAAAGGCTTAAGATGATCAAAAAAATACATTGCACAACAAGAAGAAGCAGTGCCAGAAAAAATGCATTTATCAAGTGCATAATAAATAAACTTCCAACTTTAAAAGAACTTAATAAAAGAAGGCTAGATATATATACAACAGTAGAATGCCAAGTATATTAAGATAAAGTAAAAAAGATGCAAGCATACTTGGCAGTATGCAAGAGGTAAAGAAATTTCTGAAAAAGAATCTAAAAAGTGACCATTGCAATAGCATGAAAGAAATTAAAAGAAAAAAAAAAGATTTGGATTCTCTTACATATTTTATATATAGCACTCTTTGAGAAAACAGAAACAGAGGAAGTCAAAATAAGAGAAGCATTAATAAAAGGCCTAATTCTAAAAAAAACACAAAACAAACTAGCAAAGCTATTAAACAAAAGATCAAGACAGCAGTTTGCAAATACAGTAGCAATAATGGTCTAGAACCCATTTTATAAACAAGTATAGAGAATACATTGTGAAAAAATTATTAAATAAGAGAAAAAAGTTGGAATAACAAAGAGAAGTAAAAGAAAAAAAGGTAGAAGTTCAAAGAAATCAGAAAAACAAAAAAAGGCAGATTAGGAAAAAATAAAAAATAAAAAATAAAAGAAAAAAAAAACAAGTTGAAAAAGAAGTAACAAAGACAATTTTGGGGCTTGTCATAGAAGGAAGAAAATTCTTTTATTATGAACTTTAAGTAATCAGACAAGTAGCTTACTTCTGTTCAAAGTAATGCAACAGGTTGTATTTAGATACCATTAAGGTGACCAGGTAATGCTAGACTTAGATATTAGAGATATATATGTAGTTACAAATATAATTTTAAAAACTTAATAAAGTACTAGTGTAACTGTTTATAAGAAAAAAAAAATCTATTTTATAACAATATAAACAAATAATTAATATTAATTTTAAACCTCAAACTGCTTAATGAACAATTGTACTAATTAATGACTTTAAGACTTGTTACAACAAAATTGTTATAACAGATTCTTGATTTGAATTGGCTAATAGTAATGATCAAAAATTTAAACTAAAATTATTTAAAATTTTATTAATAAAATCACAGCTATTCATTAAGTAAAAAATGTTCTTGAGCTAATTTACCATTATATAAATCTATTTCTTTAAAATTTCTATTTTTGGAATAAAAAAGTTAAAAAGTTAAATTTGTTTAAGAATTGTATAAACAAATATATAATGTGGGCTAAAATTTTGTAGATCATGGCTATTAGACAAGCAAAATTATAACAATTTTGTTGTAACAATTGCATATTTTGAAGGCTGCTCTGGCTAATTTGTAAAAATTAAAAAAACCAAATTATTTTAATTCTGCCTAATAGTAAATGATTTTATGCTATTCTGTTTAGGTTTATTATAACAAGAGGTGTAGTAACTTAGTGAAATAATTAAGTTGTTAACTTCCAAGTAGTAGGTTGGAAGTTCAAAACCTACTAATAGCAAAAATTTAGAAAACTATCTATGTTATAACAGTATTATGAAAGATAAGCAGTATTATGTCAATAACACTCTGTTGATCAGTTGGGATCAGTATTTGTAACATGGTCATACCAGATAACTGGCAGGTCATAAAGCATCTGTGCAATATTGGAGTTACACAAAAGAATGCAAACTGGCATCAGGCAATGCAAACTCAAAATAAGTTTTCATAGTTATGTAAATCTGTAAACTAGGAAACTGAAGCTAACTTGGAAAGACTCAAATAAAAAGGTAGCATAGATTTTCAACAGTATTATTGTAAAAGCTAGACCTAGAAAATGAATACCAATATAAAAGGAATTAGGTAAGCAAGAACCTTAGATGAGAGGTACTATTAACCAGACTGCTAAAAGTCTTGAACCAAAAAAAAAAGACCTTGGGGGCAGACTTTGGATACTAGAAACAGGTCATAGTTTTACCAGGCTATCTGGATTAGAAGTCTTAGATCAAAAATAGAAGTATACTATAAGTACTAAGAATATGCTATAAAGTTGGTGCTAGGGTCTGAGTGAACTATGCAAGAGTGAGCCCTATTAACAAAAGACTAAATATAAATAGTTAGTTAGCAGAAGAGCCTTCTGGAACCCTACAGTTAGATGACATACTCTGAAATATATAATAGCTTAATAGATGTACAGACAGAAAGGTCATAGTTATATTAGATATTACTTAGATATATGAGAACTTGTATACTATTTGTTGATGTAAGTATAGGGATTAGAGTATTTAAATAAATAATCTTCTAGTAGATTGCAAGCATGGCAGCTAGTATAGAACCTGCTATGCAAGTAGACTATTTAAAATAAACAACCAAAAGTTGTATATGTGGTTAGTTGTATACTTATCTTGTACAAGTTATATAATTATAATTAAAATACAATAAAGGCAATAGCTGCTAATAACTATGGCCTTAGCATAAGCAAAAAAAAAAAAAAAGATTTATTATAACAAAAATTCAGACAAGCCAGTGTAGTTCATCTGCTAATGTTTTTTATCTGTTTCAAGATCATTAATAATTCAAAGACATTAGCATAATATTCTTGCATGATGCATAGTTAAAGCACTTTATAACTATGCTAGCAATTTTGAGAACTTCTTTATAAAGCTCTAATGCTTTGAGAAGTTTTTATTGCTTAAAAGATTTCATTTGCTTGTTTTCTCATATTCTTAAAAATGCTATTATTCTGCATTGAAGTATCAGATAAATAAAATAATAATAATAACATAATATCAAGTGAATTTGTGAGTATGCTATATAAACTTGATAACTTAAAAAATTCACAGTTCAATAAATTAAGACTGAGTACCTTCTGTTAGTTTTTTGTTTTCTTGAAAAATATAAATAGTAAATTTCTTATGCTTAAAATTTTACAAAAAATTTTACCAAAACTATAAATGTCTAATTGCTTAGCATATTTATATTTGTAATTAATAAAGAACTTAGGTTTTATATATGCTGATATTTTATAAACATTTGGGCTTAAAGTTGTAAATATTTTATTTATCTAAATTATTGAAAAATTAGTAAATTAATGTATATAAAAAATCTATTTAAAGAGTAAATAATATTTGCTAATTTGAATTCTAATATGCCTTCTACTCTAATTAATATTGTTAATTTACTATTTAGTTAAATAAAGATAGCAATAAAATTTTTACTACCTGAGTAAATCAAAAAGAACTTAAAGTAAAAAATATAAAAATATTATACAATAAATATATATACTGTTATTAATTAATTTTGTGATAATCTTTTAACATTAATTTGCTATAACTAATATGCCATCAAAGTAACTTACAACATTATATGTCTTGCCAAAAAACTTAAAATCCTCTTAACCTAATTTTTTTAATAATACTTATATTATTTTAAATACTTTAAGATTTTAAATTAAGACTACTGCTATAAACCTCTATTTAAATATTTGAATAACTGAAGATTTAGCCTTATCAAGTATCTAATCAAGGCATATATATTTAATTTTTGAATAATTCTTAGTATAAAATTCCTTTCTACACTACAATTAGTGTTAGATAAGAAATTGTTAAATAATGTGATTATAGTCTCTTAATATAGTAATTAATATATAGTGCAAGAAAAAAGAATTTAATTCAAATTTGTAACAAGATTGATAATCAAAGAAGTTACTTACAAGAAGAAAGCATATAGTATATCATGTTCAGACTTGTAGAGTTTCAAAACTAAAAAAAAATAGACTCAGCAATAACATTTCAATAACTGAAGTCTTTGCATTTGTACAATTTGCACATCAGTTCAATTACATCCAATATAAGATACAAGGTCAAGTTTTACTTTTGATTATTGTTGTATATAAATCATTTTTTAAGTTTATAAATGTTATCTTGAAACAAGATGTATTATTTTTATAGATTCAAAATTCAAAATAATGCCTATGGTTGTTATTTTATAACTTCATAAATAATATAATGAATTGTTATAAAATAGATTGTATAATTTAAGTTAGTAATAAAATAAAAAATAAATAGAAAGCTATGAAGTTATATACAAGTAATGAAAAAAACTTATAAATGTATAGCACAAACTCTATCATAAAGCTTATCTTAACTGACTTATTAAATTGTTATAAAAAAGTTATTACATATTATCAGCTAATATTTAAAATTAAATAATAAATTTGATCAGTATTTCATAACTCATACTTCTATTTTGTTATATGAATATTTAACATAATGAGTCAGTAAACCTTTCTTTCTAGTTTAAAGCTCAATAAGACTTATATATACAAATCTTTTAATACTAAATATTAGCAGTTCACTAATGCATTTGTATACTGTTTAATAATAGAAAATAAAAATCCAATTTTAAATAAATCAAATATATATAATGCTGCTACAAAAGAATAAAACAATATTAAAAAATTTAAAGAAACTAGAATTGACAATATTATAAAAGAGTACTTAGCTACACCTATTAAATTAAATGAATTCATAAATGACAATCCTAATATAGTAGTTGGGTTGTTATTCTTCAAGTGACAAGTTTAAGGTTCAAATTCCACCTATAACAAAATTTGAAAATTAACCTGTGTTATGACAAACTGTCTCTTAACAATTGGTTAAATTAATGTATTTATAACCTTAAGTCACATCATCTCAAATAGAAGCTTAGAGCATCTATATGAAGTATAACATTATATGTATATAAAGAAATATTAATAACTAGTATCATATAAGACTTCAATGCAAACCTATAATAAGACCACCAAGCATAGTAAACTAAAGAACTAAAGAGTCAGAAGCCTATTTGGAAATTTCTAAATAAAGAGGTAGTATAAACTTTCAATGATATGATCAAACTGATGAAAGCCTATAAAACATCCTCAAAAAGATAGATAAATAAACTGAATAACAAAATGTATAAAGAAGCATATGATCAATCAGACTGCCAGAATTACTGAAGAAAAAGAATACATATATATATTATACTAGGCTATCTGGATTGGAAGTTCTGTTAGTTCTAAGTAGTAGTTAGTAAGAAATAATGAAGAAAACATTACAATAATAGGTATTGAAGTTCTAGTAAACTTTACAAGAATAGAAATAGTATAATATAGTAATTAAATAGGTAATCTCTGTGACTGCAAGTATTAGATAACTATAAAATATTGCATAAAACCAGATAGCTATGTGTAAGACATGGAAGGTTCTAATAAGTTTTTTGTCAAAAATAAATAGTCCTAAGGATCTCAAAAGTATCAAGTACTTTGAATAGGTGTAGCCTGAAAAATGTTCCTATGATCACAAATTAAACTACATATGCAGAGAGTTTAAATAGGCAAGACCTATAGTTGGCTTGCAAGTATGTCACCTAGTATAGAACCTGTATAGTAATATATAAGCAGACTACTTAAAATAGGCACCAAAAATGCACATGTAGCTAGTTGTAATCTCCTATGTATGAAAGCTTCTGAAGGCATTTATGTTCAAATACTTGAATAAAAATATCAATCTTCAAAAGCAGAAACTTTAATATTAATAAAAAAAAATAAATTAAATAGATTTATCAGGTTTACTACTTTATCTTAAAAAACAAAAAATTTAGAAATTACAGTTAGTAGTTTTTCCTATACTGCAATGCTAACAACAATTTTTATAGAAAAAATTTAAAATAATGCAACAGTTCAAAAACAGATAGCTAGTTCTAAAGAAATTGCTAAAAAAAAAATTAAAAAGTTGAAACAAATATATAACATTTTCACTGATCTACAGCTTTTGTATAATTTATATAATAAAATTAAAAGTCTAAAAACCAATATTTAATTATATAAAAAAAAAATACAAAAATTAAAAAAAAATACTAAATATCTGTTCAAATGTTATTCTAAAAAAACTAAAACTATAGTAGAGTAACAAGAGATAGTTAGATATGATAAAAGTAATAAACTATTATTCTTATTTCAGTATTTGAATTTGTTAGAATATATATATAATTCAGTTAAGTTTAAATCAGCAGATATACATAAATATAAAGAAGCCATTAAAGTAAAGATTGTAAGTCATTTATGAAAAAACCTTGAAAAATCTATAGTATCTATATAGCTAAAACAACTTTAAACAACTATCTTCTGCCTTATCATTCTAATTTAGTTGCAGCAAAGGCTCATCATCACCCTATCTGAATAGCTGTAGCTAGAGCTTTATATAATAAAACAAAGTATCATTTTGATGGTTACTATTGTCTTGCTTCTGTAAAAGAGGCAAGACAATTTGCACAAACCTTTACTGAATTTTCTGTTATCATCTTACAAGATGATAAAGTAAAAATAAATTTAGATGTAGCTGCAGTTGGCAGAACATTTTATATCTTGCAATCATCCTCTTAAAAAGTCCAAATACCTAACTATAACTTTGTATATAAAAGTAATTAAAAAAATTATTCTTTCAGTTTACTTTATAATTAAACCAAGTGAAGCTAATAATAACTCTCAGACAGGACAAGTTGCAATTTTTGTTTAGCCTTAATGGTTAATTGACACATCATCTATTACCTATATAAAAGATCTTATTTGTCTTATATTAAATAATTAATATTCTAAAGCACTATAGTATATAAAACCAATATAGATATTATTAGTTGATAGTAAACTTAATGAAAATCTCAAGTATCTTAAAAATACTGAATCATATTGCAAGATTTTTAAAAAATTTGGCCTTGATTACTTGTCTGTATATATGCATATCCTGGGCCAATTAAAATATAATCCCATTAAAAGGGGTATAGCTACATTTTTTAGTAAGTTGTATTACTAATAAATTATTTTAAAAAACATCTTAATAGTCAGAAAATAGTTTTAATAATGAATTAGCAAATAAAAATTTTTATTATACTAGTTTTATGCTAAGTAATATATGAAGTTAAGATTCTATTTTTGAAAAATATATAAAAACAACATATATTGACAAAATAACTAATTTATTTGTAAATATTGTGTTTGCTTATAAAGAAGAAAAAGAAGTTAAAAAGAAAAAAAATTTTAAATTAACAAGATTTTAAAGATAAAGAAGAGAAAAATGGCTTTAATAAATTTGCTAATATTTTTGTTTTGTAGACCTGAATAGAAAAGCATTGTAATATATATCAGTATTCAGTTAATATTAAATATTGTACTGATCTAAGTTGCTGTGAACCTATCAGAACACAAGAGGCTATAGATTTTCTTCAACTCTTGAATAGTTTTCTTTCTTTTATTACCAAAGCTCAAGATGGATACTATCTTAGCTCTGTTTACCTTCTTTAGTATTTTGAGTAGTTTAAAGTTTCTAAATATAATGTCCATTGTTTATTTATTAACTAAACAACATATTCTCAACTTTGCTGCTCAATTTGTTATAAGTATTTTTTAACTCTATCATATATAGCAAAGCATAAACATTTATAACATTCATCTACCTATGAAAGGCTTAAAAAAAACTAGAAAATTCAGAATCAATCACAGAATTCATTCTAATTACAAACTCTGCAACTATAAAAAACTTAAACTTATCATTTTTACAACAATGTAAAAATAAATTTTTTAACAAATGCAGAAAATGTTTTTTTTTAGATATAAAATAAAAATATAATACAGTATTTTTTTTTTTCAATAAGAAAAAAAAACAGAACTATTCTTGGGCTATACAAATTTAATATTTTGGTTTTTATAAGATCTTTAGATAGATTTAGACTAACTAGCTTTTTTTTAAAACTTCACTTCTTCTGCTTATTAAAATATATTTTTTAAAGTTTTTAAATTTAGTCTACTCAACTTATAAAAACCAAGTAACTAATTAATTTTGTTTGGCCTTATATATATATACATAGCTTTATATTTCTATATATTTCTAGAACTATATATATATTAAGATCAATATAATTAATAATTTATATATTGCATATTTTTAATATATCTGGCTGTTTACTTTAGTTATTTTTGATTAGCATTAGTTTAAATACATAAGATAGTAGCTATAGTTTTTAAAATTATAAAAATAATATACAAAATGTATATATTAAAATATAAAGATATTGTAACTATAGCTTTACTACTTATATTGTACTATTATATTGTATTTTTCTAATATGTATCTTTGTGTACTATACTACTTGAGTATATAAGTATAAAAAGTATAAAGTATTTTTTTTTTTTTTTTTTTTAAGGTGACCTCTTTGGTCTTTTGACTTTTATTAATCACTTATCGGTATTGTGGTT